GTCATGAACTTCCTGGTCCGGATAGTTACTGTGTCGTTCATGATGGCGGCCTAGCTTCAAGCAGCCGGGGAGGAAAAAAAATTAAAAATGATTCTAAGGACTCTTCCAGCGTGAAGGCACCTCCGGCCACATGAGTTTACGCTGTCAGACGTATTCCGAGAGCAGTCTTGCAAGGAGCCATGTGTCCCTGAGGAGTACGGCTTCCAGCCCCGAATCAGTTGTTTTTAATTTCTGTGCTTTATGGTGAAATTTCACAGGAGCGATTATTTCTGAAGACACTGTTTTGGGACCGGCGGCAAGGATTCTGCTGACAAAGCTCACTTTATGTAATACCAGAAACTCTTCTCTTCCCCAAGAGACCACTACCTTCCGAAGAGAGAGGACATTCGATAACCAGCCTCTTCGCTATAGGACAGCGCTGGGAACCCAGCTCCTGCTCCACGACGTCCGTGCTGATTAGAAGCGAGCCGCAGAGCAGGAAGGCTCCGCAATAGCGGCTGGCGCAGTTCCTGCGCTTGGCAGCAGGGGGCAGCATTTCCTCTGCCATTTAACAGGATTCCAGGCCAGCGGCTGGGTCTAGCACCATCCTGGGGGGCGAGGGCACCTGCCTCAAGCTCCGGATGTATGCATATACGTCTACGCATGACGTTCCTGTAATGCCTAGAAATTACGAAGCTGATCTTTCAGATGGGAGTGCTTTTCAGCGCTTTTGCAGACGGCCATGCTAACTATTCTTGTGGTTGGGTCCTCCAGAGAGGAGTCACCCCACGGTCTCAGGCCTGAGCAGGCCTGGGAGGGGCAGGAATGAACAAGGGGTGCAAAGACCCTTCCCTGCACCGAGGAGTCGCCTGCCTGGGGCCGTGCCCTCCAGGCCCCCCTCCGAGGCTTCGGGAATTAGGGCTCCTACAGGCAGAAGCCTCTCTCCAGCCCAGCCAGACAAAGCTGGTGGTTCTTCTTATTTCTATGTGATTTCCAAGGTGACAAGAACTCATCGATCCTGGAAGCAATGTCCTTCCTATGTGCACGCAGCCTGCCACTCCAGGCCGGACTTTTTCTTCTAAAATCCACCCTCCTATTCATCTTGCCCTTGGCTCCTAGAGCCCGTTTCACTGCCGGGTGGTGCCTCATGGGATGAACCTGTAGATTGATTTCTCCCAGAGCCTCTGAACTAAACTGACTCCCTCTGCTTTTATTCCAGGGAATAAAACGTCCCCATCCAGCCCCCGTCATCTGTCTGGTTAGTGTTCGTGTCCCCATTTCACAAATAAGGAAGCAGGCTCAGTGCAAGACAGGGGCTTCTCCAGGGCTGAGCCCGGGTCATCAGGGGGCAGCCTCACAGTAGGCTCCCAAGGGCCACGGCCTCAGCCTGTGGCCTGACACCGACACCAAGCCCAGGGGCTGAAAGTCACAAGGAGAAGTTGACCCTCCGTAAAGAGAAGTTGTTGGAATGTATTTGGTCATAGCACTGGCTAATAACTCCATGAGGCCACAGAATCATAATGTTAGTGCTCGAAGAAATTCCAACAAAAAACTCAGTTTTTAAAAACTGTGTTTCTTGGGATTCCCATTCCAGGAGAAGACACTTGTTCAGGGCCTGGGGGAGTAACCTCATAGCAGTGGGGCTCTAGATGCCCTCACCCCACTTGACCGGCAGCAACGAATTTGCACTTTCTCTGATGGGCTTCGGCCTGTAAGCCTTGGGTGGGAAAGGTTTGAAACTGTCGCCCTACTCCACACGTTCACTACCATAGATGCTCAAGGTCACACAGGTATCTAGTGTCTATCGTCAGGTTGCTGGTCCCCAAAAAGGAAGGAGGAGAGAGGTAGCTGACGTGGGATTTGGGAACTGAGGTGTCTTTGCCTTCCTTGCTCTCTCTTGGGGTTGGTCTTCCAGGCTGGACGAGAGAACATGCAAGTTCATTTCTGGGGGACCGTGACGTGACCACGATGAAGGTTCATGGGCTGCTGGGAGGGGGAGCAGAGAAGTCACTCTTACAGCTACGATGAGATAGATCAGGGTAGGTACCTACCCAGTCTGGGAATCTGTTGCTGGCTACGGTCTGTGATACCAGAGCCTTTCTTTTGTTGGTAACATCGGCTATTTATATGTGAGGGCAACGAGGCCTCTGTGTGCTCTGATTGTCTTCCAGTGATCCAAAACAACAGCCAGTCTTTACAAGGATAGCACGAAACCACGGCACTCTCTCTCATGAGGCAAGTCTGCCTTATGTAAGTGTGGCCTCTCTTTCCCGGCGCCTTCTGCCCAAGGAAGATCACAGAAGTCAGACCTGGAGTGAAACATAACCTTGGTGACTCCTGAACCTGGCGTGGTAATACTCTATGGCCCGTTTGTTCTCTTTGTTGAAATTCTCTGGCTTGGAGAACAGTGCTCCAGTCCTAAACAAATCCTAAAGGAGTCTCCATGAGAAAGAGTGGAAAGGAACCTGGTGTCTAAAGTAAAGGATTCCAGAAGCATTAAGAAGAGGAGCTTCATCCCTGAATCTGAAAGGGAGAAATTCCCTGTGCAGGTTCCAAGGCCTAAATGTGCGCATTTTGTGCCCTCTCCTCTAGAAGGAGAAAGCAGATCCATAGCCAGCACCCCCTGAGCTCTGACATAGCACTTACCTCCTCACCGTTCTGGCCCAGCTCTACCTTGGGGGGGAACAGGGGGAGGGAGCAGGGTGGTTTCCTTCTTGTCGGTTTACAGGCTGGTGTCTAGAGGGAGGGGGACAGACACACAGAGAGAAAAAGAGAGAGAGCTAATCAGGCAACAGGGAGGAAGAGGAGTAAGTGGAAGCTGGTTTTAGGAATGTTCAGGGATGTCCAGAGAGAAAAGATGGAGGGAGGGGTGACATGTCTTTAAGACGGACCCATTAGCCCTATGCATTAATTCTATTCCGCTGTCCACCCCTTCTGACTTCCAGGCTCCTGGCTCCTGGCCTGGTTCTTTTCTGCTGGAACATCCTCTCTGACTTGAGATTCACTGGCCTGAAACAACATCTCGAAATGACACCTGCTTCCAGCTTCCAAGCGTTGCCAGCACCATAGGTCAACACTATCTTCTTCACCCTTAATGACATTGCTGTACTGTCTAGAAATTAAAGACTGATTTTTCAGATGGGAAAACGAAAGCACAAAATACTGCACCTCAAAAAGCCTGATGGCTGCACCCCTGTTTGCCCCAAGGGGACCATCACCCACCTTGGGGTATGGTCTCCTTCCTGTCACTCCTCCTGAGCTCTGTATACTGTGTGACTCGGGAAAATCTAGCCCAAATCTCTCCAGCGTTGTGACAGCCCTTTTTACACTGTCCTCTCCAACTGGATTCCCCTGGAGTCCGGTGGTCGCTGGATCCCTGTCCTTCCTGATCCCTGGCCTCCCATCAGAATGCACTTCCCTGGATGTTTTCTCTTCCTCTTCAACTCTCAATTCAGAATCTGCTCCCCTCTCGCCTTGCCCCTGACTCCTGGACCCCGGGGCAGGAGCCGATCATGGGCATCTCTGTATTCTGAGCCAGTCCAGGTCTGGCATGTCTGGGCAGGATCTAAGTCTCCCACAGCCGATGATCAAGATGGAAATGAATCCAGACTCCCATGTTTCCAGCTCTCTGGCCTGTGTCTCCCCCCGTCCCGGCCAGAGTGTAAGCCTCGCTCTGGTGGGGAAAGATTCTGCACAGGCCCAGCAGCCTGGCCACATTCCTCACATTCAGAGGGACCCCTCTCTGGCTTCTCTTCCTAATTTGGTAATTACCAAGCCTCCTCCCTCCCTCTCCTCTGGGCCTGACCCAGACTTCCCCTTCCTCCAGCCCCCTCCCAGAAGAGGGGCTCAGGAGCCGCCTGACTCACCTCCTTTGCAGTGGCAGCCTGCTCCCTGAACCGCCCGGCCAGCTGGGCCACCGAGGGGGGTGCCGAGTCATCCACATTGGCACTGGACTCTGCTGATCTGTCCTGGCAAACCAAGGGGAAGCGAAAGTTAACGGGCAAACGTGCACTCGGCTCTTCTCCATGTTGCTCCTGGGTGCCACTGAGCTGTGGCCTGGAGCAGGGAAGCGGGGACAACGAGGTATTTTAATAGCATCTTGCAATTGGCCCCAGCGTCCAAGGATTTTAAAAACCATCCAGTCAACCACATTTAGTGCATTTTGACGATGCGCTCGGCCCTGGGTGTGGCTCCGGGGGTCTGGAGAGGAATAGACTGGGTCCTGTCCCGAAGGGGCACCCAGGGATCTGGGAAGTAGTATAAGCCCAGTGTTCCTCATTCTGCAAAGACCCAGACTGGAAAGGGGCATATCAGAGACGGCACAGGAGTCTCCTTCCCTTGGTCAGAAGAGGTCTTCAGAAATGGTGGCAAATGCTTTGGAAAGCAGGGCTTTAAGTGTATGGAACGGGGTAAGCAAATGCCCTCTATTGAACTTCGAACATGTATATAGGTCTTGTCTTCTCTACTTAAGTGAGTGCCTTGGACAAAGAAGCGTTCGGTACCTATTTGCTGAATTAATCAAGAAATAATCTGAGGGGCACGTAGCATGCAGATGAAAGCTGGACCGCCTGGATTCAACCCCTGGGTTGCTGCATCTCTTACTAGCTCAGTGACCGGGGCTAATGGCTTTACCTTTCTGTACCTTTCCGTGGATTGAATGATTCACTATCTGAAGTGCCGGGGCCAGGCAGGGCACACTGTGAAGAGCTTTGGAAGGCTTGTTATTCCTGCCAGCGGCGGGGTCCTTGCAAGAGCCCTTGTGCTGATTCACATTAGGTCCTCGCATGATGCATTCCTGCTCTCCACAGCGTCCTCCCCGAGAGAAGCTCAGCCCTTTCCCCTTCTGCTCCTTTTTGCTGAAGGAACTACCTGAAAGTCAGGTTTCTCCAAGTTGGCTACAAGCATGCGTGGGCCCCTGCTCTGCCACCGGCGCAGGTCACCGGTCCCTCCCTCCAGGTGCCTCCGGGCTCCCTGATGCGACCAAGACGCACCCTGGACACTGTTCGCGCCCACGTGCCACTTGTCACCGAGACACACTCGGTGAGTCAGCGAGCGCTGTAAACGGCACCCCACTTCTGACGTGTGGCATGTGGCCTACATAACCACCTGGTTTCAGTATTTTTTAAATGTCCTGTCCTAGAGACATTAGGCTCTTGTTTTGGGGACCACGATGACGGCATTTCTTACACAGCTGCAAAAGCCCCCTACCACTTCCCCTCCTCACGTCTAGCCTGAAACTGGGATTTGGGCAGCAGCAGCCCCGAGAAAGCCCACCGTGGTCTCTGCACGGGGCTCGTGGCCCACAAAGACAAGGCATGCCCCCCTCCGGCTGCAGGCCTGCATCCCTGGGCGCCACACGCACGTGCACGCAGGCTTCCTAGGCCCTCCTTTTTGTGCTAAAAGGCGTCTCCAACCTTTCTTATTTGAGTGCTCCCTCCAAAGTAAATGTCATTGGTCATGCTAGACCCTGGCTGGTTGGAGCAGGGGCAAGGCAAGCCCCAAGCCCCACTAACCTCTTGTTGTGAAGTGAAGTAAACGGAGCCGAGCTCTGTGAAGAAGGCTTTGTTTAGAGATGGGAAGGAGCGGCTGGAACACAGACCTTCAGATCTGAGAACAGGCTCTTCTGGAGGAAAGACCAGTTCGTCTTTACTGTTTCCCGCTATAATTCAAGGTCAAGCCCGTTCCAGCCTAAACACCCAATGCTGACTTCGCATACAGATGTGGAAGGATTCACCTCCATTCAGGGAGCCAGTGTTCCCCATAATGCTGGGGAAAAGCTGGGTAGCTTGAGCCCCCCCCAAGTCGTGCCCCGCTGGGCAGAGCTCCCGGGGCTCACACCTGTCTGCCTCCCACACCTGCCATGATAGGGGTGGTCACAGGCAAATATCTTGTCCTTCGGGTCCTATGGAGAGGCTTTAGCACAGAGCCTCTAATAGAGCCACTCTTGGCCGATTGGTTTGTCCATCTGTCTAACTTCCTGCCCACATAACAGATCAGTCTCTCTGTCCGTTGCTATTTATTGCTCGGGTCCTGCTGACAGTGTACTTTACCTCCGCTTCGAAGGCACCAATCACTGGTGTGCAGGAAGATACATTCCAGATAAAAATAGAGCTGTACAGGAATCAAAAACTCCTCCCTAACTTCCTCGTCTCGAAACGGGGCTTGGCAAGGGGCTCAGAAGTGATAGAACTGGAAGCATTTAGGGCTTAAAAGCTGGGTTGAAGGAAAGATTATAAGACATCTGAGTTTGTTTTCCTGGAGCCCAGTGAATGGCTCTTCTTTAGAATGTCGAAGAACTCCAGAGCTTGTTGAAGCCTGGCAAATCCATTCACCACCAGCCCCTCTCCAGACTCTTATTCTGTGTTGTAGAAAACTGCCTTCTCCCAGCTGCCACACTGAAGCCCAGAGAGGGCAAGTAACTTAGCCAGAGTCACACAGTAGAAGCCAAACAGTAATCTATGAGACGCTTTACTCCAACACCTGCTAATCCAGCAACTGGTATCAGTTAGATAGTATAATTTGTGAAGGTGCTTTGAAAACTGTGGAGTGCTGTGTAAGAAGTGAAACTATTATTAGCCACTGGGTTGCACTGGTACAACGGGAGAAGCGTGGCCTTGGAGCTGGACAGAAGCCGACGGCTCGGGCTGCTTGAGGCTCTGCCTGGGTTTCTGCCTTGCGATTCTGGCAGGTATGGCTGCTGACCTCCTCCAGTGCTTCAAAGGCGCACGGCCTCGGCTCCAGGTTAGCGAGCGACTCCTCTAGGTTTTTCTCCCGGCCCTGAGGCTGGTTTGGTAAGGCCACCGTCTTACCTGGACTGAGAAAGACTTCAGGGTCCCTGCCTAGTCCCAGACTTTCCTGGGACCCCACAGCCTCCCTGGGATTAAGTGTTCTTCCTCTGTCCCCAAGATGCCCATAAAGCATTTAACACAGAGCCCAGAGCGTAGAAAGTCCTGTCGAAGGGCGCTTTCTTCCCCCTACCCCCACATCCAACTTAGCTCGCAGGGGCAGGGCTGTACCTGTTCCCAGAGTTGCTCACACCCTAACTTACCCCTTGGGACCGTGCCGGTCACAGGTTCTCCCTGGCCTGCCTCCGGCCTGGGTCTGAGTCACTGATGAGACCTCAGTGCGTCCTGTCTTCTTGGGTTAATCTCTATGTCTTCAATCTGTTTTCTGGACTCAACTCCCTTTGTGCCTCGCTTTAGCTGACACTCGTCTTTCCAGACTGTGGGTCTCCACTCCATTCTCCTGGGCCCAGATCTTGCTCACCAAGCCCTCCCTGCCACCGATCCAGCCTGGCCCTGCCAGCCAGCTTGGAAACCACTCGTGTGGTTCCTGTCTGACTTTGCCAAGGCCAGAAAAAAAATCACCTCTGGTGTTTACTTTCCATTTCTATGGGACTTTCTTCTGAGAACTGAGGAGTCCCTGTGTCTGGACAGCATGGAACTTCCCCCGAGCTGTTGCCATGTTGAGTAAATACAATCTGCATGCTGCTGATCATCCACATAGTGGAACCTTTGTGTACAGGCCTGAATTGTGGGCTCTACCTACCTCCCTGACTCTGCCCCGGGTTCTCCATCCTCCTCCTTGGTCCAACGTCTAAGTATCTGACACTGTCTGGGCCCTGGATTAGGGAAAAAAGGCACCAAGGGAGGCCTCTCCATCTACAGCTTGGAAGGAGAAGCAATGAGAGGACCAGCTTGGGGGCTGAGGAGCCCCTGCTCTTGGCTAGTAGGAAGGTTCTCTTTGCTCACCAGAAACAGGCCAGACAACCGGAGCCTTGAAAGTATGGAGTATGTTTGCTTCTTTGCTCTTTTAGAAAGATGACGGATCTTAACACAGTCCTTTAAGGGATTCATACCCTTCCAACATGACCTTACTTAAACTGTCACTTCGAAAGGATCAACAGACTGTCTCTCTGGGATGCCACAATTGTTCCAGAGTTTTCCTTTACACTCCTACCTTATCCCTGACTCTTCAATTCACCCAACGTCCAGCCATTACCATCCTGGGATGATGCAAACGGCACTGGACCGGGAACCAGGAAGGCCCATTTGACCTACCTGCATTCTTAGAGCACCTGCTTTGTGGGAAGCACAGTCTTTATAGCACTTGGTGCACTTGCAGTAACTCTCAAAACACTTCTTCCGGGAGAGGAAACCACCCCAAGTTGCTGAGTGACTTGCTATTCAAGTCAAGAAGTGCCAGCACCAGACTTGTCTAGATACCAAAGCTCCAGCTCTTTCCAGACCAACATGCTAAGGAACTCTAGACCTTTCCTGGAAGGGTTAGCTTACTCAGTCGTTAATATATTCTGTCATCAATAAACATCTACTGTTCTAGGCCCTGGGGTATCACGGTAAACAAGACAGAGTCCTCACACTTAAGGGGTTGCTCTTCCGGGGGGGACATATACACAGGTAAGTAAGAGGACTCGTTCAATGCTAAGGAAGAGATAAAATAGGGCATTTTATCTCTGTGGGTGGGGGAAGACATTTATGAGGAGGGATCATCTGAGTTAAATCCCAGCTGGGGAAAAGATGGGAGGAAAACTCTCCTGAGCAGAAAACACAGACAGAAACAAAGGCTGAGGGAGACACGGTGTGTAAGGGTGAGAGGGAGCCTGGGGGGCCACATTGTGGGAAGCAATTTGTAGTTTATTCTGAGGGCACAGCACACCTTTCGGAGGGTTTCAAAGAGGGGTGTGAGCTAGGTCACACACAAGAGACTCTCTGTGGAGGACGGATGGGAGTAGGGAGCAGAGAGACTAGGAAGAAGCTTCTGTAGGCGGTCCAGCTAAGTGCTAACAGTGGAGTGGCCAGGCTTGCAGCAGGCAGGGGGTCAGAATGGGGTATCTGGGGGCAGGACAGTGAGGAATTACTGATGCACTGGGTCTGGGGAACAAGGAAGGGAGCATCCAAGGACGACTCCTGGAAGTTTGATTTGGACAACGGGATGCAGGGCTCTTTTT